GTCTCTGCCACCTCCTCCACCCCCCGACCCGGAGCGCAAGCAGGAGTCTTATTGCCTTGTTTTGAACGGTACCGCGCTAGAGTTCTCTCGTGCCCCACCCGCCCTTACTCCACAGCGCCCCACCCCGCCACGGCCACGCCCCAGGCTTCCTGCTGCTCCCCGGGCGCCCCCGGGGCCCCACCCGAGGCCCGGGCATTAATGGCAAAGTAAACCATCCAGGAGAGGGCCTCTCTCTCTCTCTCTGGCTGGCGGCCGCGGAGGGGAGTGTGGTGAGAAAGGGGGAGAAAGGGGAGAGTGGGAGAGAGAGAGAGAGAGACGGGAGAGGAGGGGGATATAGAGATAGAGGAAGGAAGGGGAGGCGAAAAAGAGAGGGGGAGATGGGGTGGAATACCACACGCGCGAAAAATTTGTGCGGCGAGTATCAGTTGTAATTGTGGCGGTGGTCGTGGAGAAGGTCAGTGGAGCGCGGGTGTCTCGTCGCGTCGGGTACGGCGCGCCCTACGAGCGAGGGGTAGGCAACACAACGGGCGACACAGCCGGCGGGCAGCCTACATGGCGGCGGCGTGCGGTCAGCAAGCAGGACCGCTCAAGCTAGAACCGTCACTGGTGCACCATACAGTCATCGGACGTTTTTCTGCTTCTGGAGAAATCCAACATTAAACATAAATAATAATGGAATGACACAAAATCTGTAACCGGAGGCCGGTCAAATCGGACACCCCCATGCGGTGGGCTCGCAGGTAGCGGGTGGACCTACCTAGCACGGCGGACGGCTGGGGTAAGCAGCGCCGAAGCGCTCAGCAACGATGCAGGTTTGCGTACCCTCGCATCGTAGCAGCTCACGCTTCATAAGAGGAAAACGCAAAACGATGCCAGAACGACTTAGTATTTATTTCGGAACCCTGCGGCATTTCGCTCCGAACACAACTACTGCTGTTGCGATCCGTCACGCCAGGGCTAGGCCATGCTTGCGCTCAATCTCACACCAGACCTTTCTTTTGCGTTAATACCACTGCTACCCCCTACCCCTCCCTCCCATGCCCCGAGGTGGTCTAAAGGGTAGGTGGGGGAGAGCGGGGGCGGAAAAAGGCTGCGTGCGGTGTAAATAAGCTCGCTTTGTCAGTGGCAATAGTCGGAGCAGCAGCGATTAGCCAAGCCAGGGCAAGAGTGGGAGGGGGTGTGGGGATGTTTTGGGGGGAGGCAGGGATCAATGTGTCCGACCAGAGTCCTCTCGCCCGCTGTGAATTTGGTTCAAAAGGAAACGAGAAATTCCAGCCGTTTCGTAGAGCACCAGCCAGCCGACGGACGACAGTTTTCATTCATCGCCACATTGTATTGGTGTTGCTTGTTGCTTCTACCTTTACTTTGATCCAAACCAGTCTTTGATCATCTCTACAAAGTATTGCCTTTGTAAGAACACAATCGTGTCCCCCAAAAGTGCTCGGCTGCGACACCAATATGTTTTTTGTGGCTTTTGCTCTTTAGTTGCAGTGCTACTACACTACTGGTACGCTCGTGTGATGCGCTCATTGTGTTTTGTGCACAGCAGGAGCGGAGTCATCGCGGAGCGTCCTGCGCCAGTCTCCTTACAGAGGTGGGAGGGAGGAGAGAAGGGAAGAGGGGAAGGGGGGTCGAGGGGTGAGCGCTGTAACAGGGCAGGAAAGGGTTGTTCCCATGACGTACAGCCTGATGTGTGTCGAGGGGAGGGCAGGGAGGGGGGTGAGCAGGGACACCCCCGCCTCCAGCCCCTGTGGGGAACCCCCTTGGGTGTGTCGCGTGGGGTCCCGGAAAGCCCCTGCTTCCGCCCCTACAAACTGCATGAACGTGTGTGGGGGTGTATGTGTGTGTGCGCGCGCGTGTGTGTGCGTTACGAGTCGTGTGCGTGTTGGTG